GGTACCACAAAGATGTTTTGGCAAAATAGGGATTGATAGGGGCAGGATATTCTCATTATTTGGGGCTTCTCCCTTAACAAGGAGGAGACATTGAATTTAACATCGATATGAAAGTACCATACACTACTTCTCTTTCTAACTAAAAATAGATATGTCATGCTTCTAGTTAGTGGAAACTCTTTAGACTCCAGATGTCTCAATTGTAAGGTTTCTATGTTTGATACTGGATTCTAAAGACAAAAGGAACCTTTCCACACTACGCTTCCTTATCCCTATTTATAGGAAGAGAAGAGAGAAAACATCACCTTCCTCCAGCAAGTGATGGTGATGTATGCAGCTCCTTTTGGGCTAGAAGAAATAAGAAAAAGTCCTATGTAAAAATGACGGGCTCAGGCCTCACTTCAAAAGACTTCAACAATTATGCTATCATCAAAAGCTAGGTTAGCCTGGAGTCCCTGAGAGGACTGTAGGCTCACCAGGTTAGTAACTCCCCATGCCTGAAACACATGCAAACCCATCTGGGGAAAGTCATGTCTGGGAAAAACCATTGAGATCCATGATGAAAAATGTACAAAGAGAACTAATGGACCCTGTGTGCAGATTGAAGCATAATGTTTTTCTTTATTTTTCTTGGTTTCTTTTTTTTCTGCAACATGGCTAGTATGGAAATTTTTAACATGATTTCATAGATAGAATGGTTATCATTTCTTGTTTTCTCAATGGGTGGGAGAAGGGGTGGGAGGGAAAGAATTTGAAACTGAAAAATAAAAATTAAAAAAATTTTAAAAGAAAAACCATTGGAGAAGGATTGCAAAGAACCCTAAAGATGCCTGTCATCCTCATTGCAAAAAAGGAAGATAAAAGAAAAGCTATAGGAAAGCCACAGAGGTTAAAAAATGGATGTTTTCACCTCAAGAACAGGCATAATGGAATAAACTGGTTCTTGTATGTATGGTGGTGAGAAATATTAAAGCAGGAGAATAATCTTGTTTTATAATGTACTCTCTACCTAAAAGGTATAGAATGCTGTTATCTCAAATGCATTTAATTATACTTCAACGTGTACTATAATGATTGGCATGTTCTACCCCCCCCCCCAAATACTCATGCAAACATGATTGTAAACTCCCTGGAGACAAGAACACCTTTATATCCTCATGCCTTGGACACAATTATTTAAATAGAATTTTTTTAAAATAAGTTTTTAGTGATAATATGGTTTCTTAAATCCCAAGTATCCCTCCTACTACCCCTCCCAAAGAGACATCCCATATGACAAGTAGGATTTTTTTAGAAAGGGAAAAAAAAACCCATCACTGCTGATCAATACACAGAAGAAGAATCCAAAAACTTGTACTATGTGTAATACCTGTGGACCTCCCACCTCCATGAAGGGGTGGGTTGAGGCTTCTCCTATCTCTTCATTTGAGTCCCGCTTGATCTTTTTTAATATTGTTATATTTACTTCTGACTTTTTGATGTGTCATTCTTTCCATTTATATTGTTGTAGTTATGTATATTGTTTTCTTGGTTCTTGCTTGGCTCTGGATCAGTTCATGCAGATCTTTCTATGCTTCTCTGTGTCCATCACACACATCATTTCTTACAGCACAGTAATATTCCATTACATTCATGTAACCACACTTTGTCTAGCCATTCCCCAATTGATGGGCATCTACTTTATTTCCACTTCTTAGCTGTAGCAAAAAGTGCTGCTAAATATTTTGGAGTATAAGGGCACTTTATTCTTATCAAAGGCTTCCTTGCAGTATAAGCCTAGTAAGGAAGTCTAGTTCAAAGTATAGACATTGTAGTCACTATTTGCATAATTTCAAAATGCTAAACTGAATTTTATTACTTCATTCAATGTCTCATGTTTTAAGAGGCATGGGTAGTAGGCTTTTATTATTATCATTTTAAGAGGCATGGGTAGTAGGCTTTTATTATTATCATTGTGAATATAAGCAACCTTATTAGGAAATTAATGAACAGTAAGAATTTTGCAAAGGTACACTTTTACATCTTTTTTATCAATATATGTACTTCATACTATTTAATGCATTTTTTCCACTATTTCATATACCCATTTTCAGTATACATACTTAGTAATAAAAGTGTTACAGCAAGAAAAGTATAGTGTGTGCCATGTCCTTTTTATTAAACATTTATACTGTTTCTAATTTCTCAGTGTTATGAAGAGGACTAACATTCATCTGTTTCTATATTACTCCATTCTTCCTGTTCCTTTCTTTTCACTCCTCCTTTAAGGTATTTCCCAGAAAGGAAAGAGGCAGTTCAGGGAATCAACTAGAGAATCTGGTCTTGGAGTCAGGAAGACCCAGAGTGAAATCTAGCCTCAGACATATTGGTTGTGTGACCCTGAATAAGTCATTTAATGTCCCATTGCTCCAGATAAGAGGTGTCCTGTAATTAGCATGAACAAGGCTAAAATTTAATTGGGAAACAGCAAAATAAAAATACAAATAAAACCGATTATGTTACATTTTTAAATAAAGTCAGAATGTAGCAGGGACTCTTTATATATGGATTAGTGGCCCCTTTTATTTGAGTTAGAATCTAGGCAACTTTCTAAAACAATAAGTTTAGAAGGGTTTTCCTCACTGGAATTCAACACCAATGAAATTGAAATTCTAGACCAAAAGATAATATTCACCTCCAAATGGGGAAAATAAACTGGATCAGCAGCTTCATAGCTCTCATCCCATGTTACTGGATTGCTCTCCAGAAAGCTAAAGGCCAATTAACATTGCCACCAGTAGAATATATTTGTTTTCCTGCTTTGGGGTTTCATAATTGTTTTTGCCAGTTTAACAAAAACTTTCCAAATTTTCTTATATTAATTTGTTTGTAATTAATTGCTAGGTAGGACTGCTTTTTTTGCTATGTTGACATTTTACTATCTCTTGTTTCTTCATGTAAGTAAACTCTGTTAGTGCCAACCTGGTTTATATTCTCACTGCTGGTAACTACAGAGAAAAAATTAAGCAGCGGTCATCTAATAAGAGATGTCAGAGAAAACTTTTTTTAATGTTTGAAATCACCGTACTGCTTCTTTTTTCCATCATGGATCAGGGAGAGGAAATAGAAAGATTTTTAATTTTACAAACTATTGCATATGGATGTTTGCTGAGTTTCTCCTCCCATTTTTAGCTGCAAAGGACAACAAGAAAGACTCAGAGGGAAAAGCAGAACAGATTGCAGGATCTGTGAAAGTTGTCAAGCATAAAATATGCCAGAAAGTATTCACAGCTCTCCTTGTTACCAAGGTAGAAATAACAGGACTTATCAACTGATTGGATATGGGGAATGGGGGTGGTAAGAGAGGGAGGAGTCTAAGTTAACACCCTAGGTTGTAAGCCTGGGTGATTAGAAGAATGGCGGTAACCTTGACAGTAACTGGAAAGTTAGGAAGATGGGAGTTCTTAGAGGGGAAAGATAATGAGTCCAGTTTTGGACATGTTGAATTTAGGATTTCTTTGAGACATCTAGTTCGAGATGTCCAGTGAGCAATTGGAGATGCGAGAGGTTAGTTGAAATAGATTTGAGCATTTTCTGCATAGAGGTGATAGTTGTAGCTATGGCAGCCAATGAGCTCACCAAGTAAAATAGTGTAGAGGAAGAAGAGAAGAGGAGCCCAGGGGAGAGTATTGGGAGACACCCAGGGTTAGTTGACATGAAGATCCAGTAAAAGAGACCAGGAAGTTCCTGAAGTAGTCAGAGAGACACCACATATAGGAGGCTTTTAAATAATTATCCTGAAAGTTATATACCTCTTTCACACACTTAACTGAAATATTGATGTAATATTGACTCCTGGTTAGTGGAAATTCTGTTGAATGTTAAATTAGGTTCTGATCTTGATTTGGGGAAAAAAAGGAATTTGACTTAATGTTCTTATAACATGTATGAACACCACTATAATGCTGTAAACACCAAGTGCCCATCATGTGGACTATGAACCAGAAGCAGTACACCTGATCCTGTCACTTTTTAGCCAGGAAAAAAAAAAGGTAGTTAGCATTCATGAGGCCACTAGGGTCTATCCACATGAAATTTCTGCCTCTGTGGCCAAACTCCTCTGGCAGTGTTTAGGTTCATCTGACTCTGAAAATAGATTTTCTTTCATGAAATTGCAGAAATCAAAGCCATGGCACCATAAGAAGTCATTATTGAGAAGTATATGGACCAATACCCCATAGCTATCTAGAAGGGTTCATTAGTTTGATGTTAAATACCAATATTCTTCCTGACTTGATCAAAATTGATCATTGTTGAACACTAGGCATACATATTTATACTCTTGATCAAACTGTTTTTGGACTTTCTTGTCCATATTTTTAAAATTAATATTTTTGAATTACTAATAGATCCTATATATCATCACTGTCATCTTTTAAAATGTTACCTATTTTGTGGTGGCAAAGAATTGGAAATTGAGGGATTGCCCATCAGTTGGGGAATGGCTGAACAAGTTATGGCATATGAATATAATTGAATACTATTGTTCCATAAGAAATGATGAGCAGGCAGATTTCAGAAAAACCTGAAAGACTTACATGAACTGATGCTGAGTGAAGTGAGCAGAACCAGGAGAACATTGTATGAAGTAATAGCAACATTGTGGGATGACCAACTTTGATAGGCTTAGCTCTTCTCAGCAATGCAATGATCTAAGACAACTCGAAAAGAGTCATGATGGAAAATGCTATCCACACCTAGAGAAAGAACTATGGAGTTTGAATGCAGATGGAAGCATACTATTTTCACTTTTTTTGTTTGTTTTTTCTTTCTCGTGGTTTTTCACTTTTGTTCTGAGTGTTCTTTCACAACATAATGTGGAAATATGTTTAATATGATTCTACATGTATAGCCTATATCAGATTGCATGTCATTTTCAGGAGGGGGGAGTGGAGGGAGGGGGAATATTTAGAACTCAAAATCTTTTAAAAGTGAGTGTTAAGAACTAAAAATAAGTTCATCTTAAAAAATGTTACCTAAAAGCCCCAATTTCACTATGTGGCTCCTTACTGAAAAAAATGGACATCTTTGCAGTTTAAGTGAAAGTGAACAGATTTATACAATTCATCAAACTTGTAACAATAGTGAATAAAATGGATAATAGGGTAGAAGCTCTGTTGTCAAATTAATTCATTATAAAAATATAGGTGCCACACTGTTTCTGTGATTTTACAGTAATAATAACAAAGATACACATTAAAACAGATTTTGATATTCTGAAGTATGAGAAACATTACTTATTGTATTACTATGGATTCAAAATAGAACATAAACTGAAAGAAGCATTACTGAAATTTTTAAAAAGCCCTACTTGCCCAAAATCTTTCCCCGAAATGAATGCAATATTTTAGAGGTATACACCCAGAATTACAACAAATAGATCTTGTGATGTTCATCATTACCTTTCATTAAAGATAGAACCTTCTTTCAAACTGTCTGTCAGAAGTGCCTTGAATTTTTCTGCATTGCATTCCATCATGACTGAAACTTTGTTTTTCTTCTGAAGCTTATCATTAATATCCAGAACCATCATTCTTCAGGTGTGGAAGCCAGCCAGTTCCACAGTCACAGCACAGTCTATTGCTTTAGTGATAAAGTCCTCGTCAATGGCAGCTGCTATGGCAAAGCAGTCAGAAGGCATATAGCCTGGTGTCCAGAACAGTGCAGTAGGTTTCTGTACATGTTTCTTCAAACAGGTCACAGTATAAGCATTGATTTCTTTCAAAAATCTAGCTTTTTTACTGTTTTGTGAAGTCCATTGCTCATAAAATTCCTAAAGAACAAGAAGAGAGGATGCTATAAATACATATGTATATTATTCATCTATTTAAATATATATGTGTGTTTACATGATTTATCTAGCTTTTTCTTACACAATTTATCTTCTTGTTTAACAAATGCAATATTTTGGAGTAGCTAGATGGTGCAGTGAATAGAGCTGTGGCCCTGGAGTGAGAAGGACCTGAGTTCAAATCCAGCCTCAGACATTTCACACTTACTACCTGTGTGACCTTGGGCACGTCACTTAACCCCAATTGCCTCACAAAAAAAAAAAGGAAATGCAATATTTATTCCAAACATTTGTAGATACTTGTTTGAGAACTGTAAAGTAGTATTCATAAACTTGACTTTAAAAAAACCTTCTGATTAACTTTTTATATTCCCTTTTTCTGCTTAGACCTAGTGCTATGATGGCTAAATTCAATCTGCAATCAAAAAATCTATGATCCCCAAATCCCTCAGACTAGGGCTTCTGTATGATTCTACTGGCAAAGAAAAAATGTCATTTAGGAATAACAACAATCTTATCATTTTTTGTTGTTGTTATAATCATTTCAGTTTCGTCTGACTCTTCATGAGCACTTGGGGTTTTCTTGTCAAAAATACTAGAGTGGTTTGTCATTCCTTCTCCAGCTCATTTTACAGATGAGGAAACAGCAGCAAATGGAGCTAAGTGACTTGCCTGGGATCATACAGCTTCTAAGTGTCTGGGGCCACATTTGAACTCAGGTCTTCCTGACTCCAAGACCAGTGCTCTAGCCACTGTTGCACCTAGCTGCCCCAAGTCTTAGATATAAAGCTTTCGTTTGTATCACAGGTCTTAAAAAATATTCTATTTAGAGATAAGAGGATTAAAATGATAGTAGCAAAGTACAAGTGTACATGTGACAACTGTAGTGTTCTCCTGTTAGATAATAGAGGGGGAAATGGCCTGAAACAAACTCAAGCAAGGAAAAAAAGTTAAATAAGTTTAGACATTTAAAAAACCTAACAGGGGGCAGTTAAGTGGTGCAGTGGATACAGCACTGGCCCTGAAGTCAGGAGGACCTGAGTTCAAATTCAGCCTCAGACCAAACACTTGATACTACCTGTGTGACCCTGGGCAAGTCACTTAACCCCAACTGCCTTTAAAAAAAAAACCTAACAGGACAAATAAAGACAAAAAGGAAAGGATCCTGGGAAGAGAAAGAAAAGTATAAATAAAAAGGGAAATAGGAGTTTTTCAGGTCTTTTTTCCTTAGCTAACCCACCACTTAACCATATCTCTCCTTTTACCTCCAGTGAATTACCATGGGGATCAATCTGTTAATAAGTTTTTTTTTTTAAAGTACCATCTTATTTGGCGTAAGGAGGGAATACCATACACGCTCAATTGGGTGTGGAAATCTATCTTACCCTATAGGAAAATAGCCGGGAAGGGGATAAGAGAGTGAAGAGACGGTGGGTGATAAAGGAGAGGGCAGATTGTGGTAGGGGGTAATCAAAAGCAAATGCTTCTGAGGAGGGACAAGGTCAAAAGAGAGAACAGAATAAATGAGGGGCAGGATAGGATGAAGGGAAACAGTTAGTTTTCCACCACATGACCACTATGGAAGTGTCTTACATGACTATATTTGTATAAGCTGTATCGAGTTGCTTACCTTCTCAATGAGAGTGGGTGGGGAGGGATGAAGGGAGGAAATTTGGAACCCAAAGTTTTAAAAATAAATGTTAAAAATTGTTTTCACATGCAACTGGGAAATAAGATACACAGGCAATGGGGTATAGAAATCTATCCTGCCCTACGGGAAAATAGAAGGGGAAGGGGATAAGAGAAGGCGGGAATAGAAGGGAAGGCAGATTAGGGGAAGGGATATTCAGAATGCATGCCATCTTGGCGTGAGGAGAGGGACAAGATGGGGAGAAAATTTGGAACTCCAAAATCTTGTGGAAGTGAATGTTGAAAACTAAAAATAAATTAACCCCAAAAAAGTAGCATCTTACCCAAGGCAATGTATACATGCATACAAATTCCCAAGTAGCAATGTAAGTAGGGCAAATGTACTCATTTAAGACAATGTAAGCTGCTTCTGGATCTGCTGCAAAATTGAATTCTGAACATACATCCATATTCCCTCTAGCTAAAAAAAAAAATTAAACTATACAGTATAAATTATTTTTCTAATTTCCTTTTAATTTCAAAATGACAAAATTGTCCTCTCAACATTTAAATCTACATAATTGTCCTCTCAACATTTAAAATGCAATCAGTTAATTCAATGTATTTCACAATCTATAGAATAAAAGATCAATATATCTTTAAAAATACAATTAGGTAAATATGCTAAGTTCATTTCCCTTTCATTGCCCAACCCCCACCCCCACCCCTCTGCTTTTCTGGGATGTAAAAACTAACATGTTAACACCTTGCACTATTTTAGAAACCTTAAGCTATTTTAAAGAAATAGAAATCTTATGTCCATTGCTTTGGCGGACAGCAATATGATGAAGGCTCTAAAAATATTCATTGGTATTTTAAAATCTTAATTCACAGCCCACTTTCTAGGAATTTCTCATTTAATCCCACCCATTCTTCACCTGCCAACAGGCTACCTGATTCAATCCCTTCGTTCCCAATAATCTGTATGGTTTGTTTATTTGAAAATATTTTGAGTTAATGCATTCGTGTGTTTTGTCTTCCTTGTTCAACACTGTATTTCAGTAGCCATTTCTATTCCTTAATAATAAAAATAGCTAGCATTAACATAAGGTCTCCAGGTGTCTCAATGGATAGAATGCCGGGGCTGGAGTCAGGAAAACCTAAGTTCAAATGTGACCTCAGATACTTACTAGCTGTGTGACCCTGGGCAAGTCACTTAACCTTGTTTGCTCATCTGTAAAATGAGCTGGAAAAGGAAATGGCAAACCATTTACTCTAGCATCTTTTCCAAGAAAAACCCCAATGAGATCATAAAGAATCAGACATGTCTGAACAACAAAAATCATTTATAAAGCACTTAGCACAGTGCCTGGCAGTGGTAACTGCTAAAATTATAGTTCATTTACTGATAAAGTACTTTAAATTTTGCAAAGCATTTTACAAATGTTATTTTAATTCTTTTTTTTTTTGGCTGGGCAATGGGGTTAAGTGACTTGCCCAGGGTCACACAGCTACTGAGTGTTTTGTGTCTCAGGCCAGATTTGAACTCAGGTCTTCCTGAATCCAGGGCCGGTGCTCTATTCACTGTACCATCTAACTGCCCCTATTTTAATTCTTACAACTACTTTGGGAGGTAGGTGCTGTCATTATTCCCATTTTGTAGATGAATGTACTGAGCCTGAGAGAAGTTAAGTGACTTACTCAGGATCACACACTAATAAACGTCAGAGGCTAGATCTGAATTCAGATCGTGATTCTGAATCCCTTTCCTGATACTTACCTGCCTCTGTAATAAATGCACTTGATTACCTATTACTTTACTATATATTCTTTGTATATTCCATTAATAATTATTGACAACTGAAAGACAATAATACTTGAATGTACTTACAATTCATATTTCCTCCCATCATGAACAGATTTTTAATTTTCTTTGGAAAGCTTGGGTCCATTTTCACAGCCAGAGCTAGATTGGTCAAAGGGGCAGTGGCTACCAAAGTTACCTACAAAAAAACTGATGGTGATTAAAAAAAGAAAAAGCAAGAAAATGTACAAACAAGCCAGAGTGCCCAAGTATGTTTTGAGGTTTGATTGTTTTTGGCTAAAATTTCTACTTAAGAGACTTTTAAGATCTCTTCAAGGATTCAAGTAGTGATTACCTCTTAGAATGAGGTAGGGGGAAAAAATGTCAGACACATGATCCAAGATAGTGAGGGATAGAGGAAGAGCATGTACTGTGACATGATTGCCTGGCCAGGTAGTTGACTAATCATTCTGATCATTGCAGGCACTGCATGTTCTTCTTGGAGTTTGTCCAGTCCTGGAGCATCTGGGTCAGGAATATCTCCCAAGCCATCTTTTCCAAAATAACTATCACTTTTCAGATTATTAAGGAATGGGGAAGAAGCACCTTGATAAACTGGAATCTGAGATTAATGGAAAATAATAACAATAATGATAACAATAACAGCCTAGTGGTCACATTTCCCAAACTGTTAATCACAAATAAGTCACCAAGTAGTATCCTGGTTCCCTTATAACTTATAACTCAAATTTCATGCATAGTACTTTGTATCTCATGTGTTTATCAAATTCTAATTTGTGTTCTTGTCTTGGAATCCCCCCTTGGTAGATGAGAATTCCTTCAAGGCAGCAGCTGCTGTGTCTAATTCATTTTTGTATCCCATAACACCTGCTACAGTATCTTGCATGAAGCAAGCATTTCTTCTTTGGAATTGAGAAGAATTGCTTAAATTGGGTATTAGTTAATCAGAGTAGATAAGTCTCAAAACTGATTGGTTTGCATGTCACTTGGTTCAACACTGCTCCTGTTTTCACTCCCAAATCCGCTAATTGATAAGCACAAAAAAAGGACAAATGGGAAATAGAATAAGCTATAAATCTCAATTCAACAAATAGATAATTAGCACCCAGATAATCTAAAGTTGATTTTTTTTGGGGGGGTAAGGCAGTTGGGGTTAAGTAACTTACTCAGAGTCACACAGCTAGTAAGTGATATGTGTCTGAGGCCAAATTTGAATTCAGGTCCTCCTGACTCCAGGGCCAGTGCTCTATCCACTGCACCACCTAGCTGCTCCTTGGTTTTGGTTTTTCACAGAGACTAACACGAACCTGAATTCTGAAGCATTTTTTTAGATATCATCTAAATAAACAGAACTTTGATAAAGCATCATTTGGGACGAAAACAGTCAATGCCAGAGTTAGCATGTCTGTGGGAAGGCAGACACCCTTCTATAGTAGGTAAGGGAATTGGTCCAATCCTTCTGGAAAACAAATTGGAATTATGTGAGACAACCCACTAAATTTAATTTCCTTTGCCAATGGTCACACCATTACTGGGTATAATCGGGGAATATACGTCCACAAAGAGATCAGAGGCAGAAAGAAAAGTACCATCCACGTCAAAAGAGACATAATAGCTGTATATGGTTACCAAAACAACAACAACCTGGAAATAAAGTAGGTGCCCATTTGATTGGAGGAGTGGCTGAACAAATTGCGGCATGTGAATGAAATGGAATATTACGTCCTAGCAAACAATTTCAGAAATGACAAGAATTCAGAGAAACATAAGATTTTTATGACCTGATGCAGAGTGAAATAGAACAATATATCCCATGACTACAATAACAAGAAAGAAAAAAATGCACATAGGAAGGCAAAATCTGAGTAACTGTACTCAGAAAATGTTCCTGGAGAACAGATAATGAAACATGCCTCTCTCCTCTCAGCAGAGCTATGGGAAAATTATAGGTATGGCATGTTGCACACGCTGTCAGATGTGGCCACTGGATTGATTGGTTCGGCTTGGATGTTTTACCTTGTTACAGGGGAAGATTTCATGCTGGAGGTGTTGGTGGAATGGAGGGATTAAGAGGTTATATCCCAAAACAATTCTGATGTTAAAAAAAAAGAAGCATCAATTAAACATATTTATAACAAAGTCATTTTAGTTCAGTTTCTTCTAATGAACGATTTGCTAATAATGACATTTAGCTTTCTTTTCAAAATTATTTTTATTTTTATTTTCAGTTTCTAATTCCCTCCATCCATTGAGAAGGCAAGAAGTGTGATACTGATTATACATATCAAGTCATACAAAACACATTTCCTCATTAGCCATGTTAAAAAAAAAGCAAGAAAAATAAAGAAAAAATACACTTCAATATGCAGTCTGAGTCCAATTCTCTCTGGAGGTGAATAGGATTTTATATTGTAAGTCATTTCAAATTGTGGTGGATTATTGTATTGATCACAGTTCCTGAGTCTTTCATAGTTTGCTTATCTTTATAAAATTGCTATAACTGTAGATTGTTGTCCTGGCTCTACTCACTTCACTTTGCATCAGTTCCTACATTTTTCTGAAACCATTCCTTTCATCATTTCTTACCACACAATAGTATTCCATCACATTTATATGCCATAGCTTATTCAACCATTCCCCGATTTATGGGCATCTGTTCAGTTTCTAATTTTTGTTATCACAAAGAGCTGCTATAAATATTTATATATATGGGTCCTTTTCCTTTTTATTTGATCTCCTTGGATTGTAGACCTAGTAGTAGTATTTTGAGTCAAAGGGTATGCACAATTTTATAACATTTGGGCATAGTTCCAACTTGTTCTCTAGAATGGACTAATTTACAGCCCACCAACAGTACATTGGCATAACTATTTTCCCATATCCCCTTCAGCATTTGTCATTTTCCTTTTCTGTCATTTTAGCCAATCTGATAAGTTTGAGGTGGTACCTCAGAGTTGTTTTAATTGCATTTCTCTAATTACTGATGATTTAGAGCATTTTTTCATGTGAATATTTATAGCTTTGATTTTTTTCCTGAAAACTGCCTGTTTGTGTCCTTTGACCGATATTTAGCTTTCTAAAAGATTTTTCCTCTCCTGAGAGTAGGTTTAATAAGGGTGCCATCTGACTGGCTTGGCCCTCATACTGCCAGAAATCAGGATGTCTGTGTCCACATCTGGGAGTATGGTAGCTCCCATCATTGTGGCCACCACCAAACTAAAGGTCCTTTTTTTATTCTCATCCATGAGAGCTAATACATCATAATGGCTTAGGCAACAGTTACTGTTGTGCTCTCATTTCTAGCTTAAGAGACAGAAAAGAGGTTAAGAATGGGTGCATCTCTGCAGAAAATGGAGATCCCAAAACATGCCAACTTCAGAAAACAAAAAGTGGTGAAGAGGCCCAGTGAATTGTGTAAAATTTCACTGTCTTAGGATTCTGCTTATTATATATTTTTAAATTCTGCTTTTTTAAAGCCAAGTTTTATAAAAACACAGAATTTTGTTCTCCTCTGCCATTGGTGACCTTGAAGACTGCCATTTCAGAAGAGTAGTAGAAATGGAAACACCCCTCCCGACTATGGAAAAACAATTGAGTTGGGACTAGTTCTAGCAGACTGGGAATTTTGCAGAAGAGTTTATCTATGCAAAGAGAGATTCCATAAAAGGTTTCTCAGAGCTTTGCCTAAACCCAGAATCATCTCATTTGTCCTCATGGGTTGTATAACAAACAGGTGTTAAACCATTGGGTGGCACCTATGGAGTCCCGTACAATGAATGAGCTGATTCCTAGACAAAACTCAATTTCAAATAAAAAGTGCTGCTTTGGCCTAGGTCAATGATCAAATTCATGATTTGGGGAGCTCCCCATCCATCTGAACTGCTTTGCTGTGAGGTTTATTGGGGTCTTGCCCTGCTGTGAGAAACTTAGCCTTCCTCTCACTTATCTTTTCTAATCAGTTTTAATAAAATTCTTTTTCCTACGAAATCATGGCTGTCATCACCATAGTGTTCCCCATGATCTGTGAACCGAGACCCTCTTCTCTCTTCTGTCCACGATGGTACGTGGACATCTTCTCCAAAAAAGCAAGCAGTCAAGTGGAGAGATGGGCCAGGAGCTGGATCAGCTAGAAGGGGCAAGGAAAGAGTCTTTAAAAAAACAAACAAAAAAGAACTGGGGAAATCTCAGCATGTTGAGGAAAAAGCTAAAATCGAAAGGGAAAGATTGAAAGAAAAAAAATGATTGCTGGAGCAAGGTCCTGGAAAGGAGAGAAAGGAATAGGTTCAAGGGGGCAAATAGAGGAGTTTGTGAGGGAAAGTTGGGTGATGATGCTCATAAACTATAAGGAATGGAGGAAGTGAGTTGAGAGGGCTTAAGTCAAATAGCCTCAAATCTTTTTAGTGAAGTAGGGTTAGGCCAAAGGTGGTAGGGCGAGGAGGGGGGTTGGGAGAGACTGGAACGAATCCATCTCACACAGTTTGTTAAATATGAAACTACCACTAAAGATTGTGGTACCAAGTAAATGGAGACTCAGTGGGTGCCCATCAATCAGGGAATGACTGAGCAAATCATGGCATGCGAATGTGATGGAATAATGTTATGCTGTAAGAAATGAAGCGAGCGGTTCTAGAGAAACCAGGAAAGGCTTGTATAAAGAAGCGAGCAGGAGAACAACGTCAAAAGATTTAAGAACTCTAATCGACACAACGACCAATCATGATGCAGAGGATTCATGATGAATCATGCTCCCCAACTCCCCTGACAAAGAGGTGTGATGGACTTCAAGTGCAAATTGAGACCGGTTTTCTTTGGACATGGCCAGTTGGGAAATTTGTTTGGAATGACTTTGTGTATTTGTTGTAAGAGTTTTGTTTTTCTTTTTCAGTGTGCATGGGGGAGATGAAAGGGAGCAAAGGTAGATTTTCAGTAAGTGAAAAAAAATTTTTTTTTAATTATTAGGGATAAAGTTTGATCATTTGTAATACTTGCAAGACAAATACATTACCTGTAAACTGTTACACTTCTGTAACATCCGAAGGACATTTTTGCACACGTTTTCCACTGAAGTATTCCCAAAACAGCAAGTGATCCCCAGAACTTCAACGTTGGGTGCTCTCAGAGCCATCATTAAGGCAACAGCGTCATCCACTCCAGCGTCCACATCAATCACCAGTAATTTCTTTTCCATTGCTGACATTTCTGCCAAACCAAAACAGAGGTATAGAATAAATGTCAATGCAATGAAATCGTCACATGTTTATGAAGAAAATGTCAGTGTTTGATGTTTTAATGACATATCTTATTTAAGTTTTAATGGAGAATATACGTTTGTATTTTTCAATTCAGTTTCACTCCTTGACTCAAGAGTCAGGAAACCTGAGTTCGAATCTCATTTCAGACACTGGGTGATCCAGCCAGGCTAAATCATTTCTCCTCTCAGGGTTTCACTTTCCTCACGTGTAAAATGAGGATAATAATACTTGCACTACTCACCTGACAGAGCTGTTGCTAGGAAAGAGCTTTTCAAACCTTAAAAATATAATGTAAAGGAGCAGCTAGGTGGCACAGTGGATAGAGCTCTGGCCTTGGAGTCAGGAGGACCTGAGTTCAAATGCTGCCTCAGACACTTGACACTTACTAGCTATGTGACCTTGGGCAAGTCACTTAGCCCCAATTGCCTCACCAAAAAGCAATAATAATAATGTAAATGTGAGACATAATAATTATTGCTATCTCATTCTACTTCTCTTTTTTTTTTCATGGAGTTCAGAGGGTAATGATCTACAGACAAGTAGCTATCTTGTTATTATTCTTTTATATTTCATATTGTGAAGGATGTTGTTCATATGGATAAGATGATAGCCTTTTGTAATTAAAAATTATTAAGTTCACCTGTTTAGACTCACTGCAAGCATCTTTGGGACAATTTAGAAATCAGCATTATTATATTATTATTATTGGTATAAGGTGTACATGCAGTAATGCAAACTGAAACTCATCCTTGCATGCTTATCCTGTGCCACTCTTGTCCATATCCTCCCAAAAGTTTGATACAGGAGGCACTGACGTGCTGGAGGCTGTCCTCGTTTTTTTTCCTGACATCTTAAGGATGCTAGTGGAGTACTCAGACTATCCACCCATTCTCCCCTACTTTCACCACAAGACTGACTTACTTTCTCTTTTTTTTCATACTATTTTTCATACATCCTTTTCTCTCATTCTTCAAAGTCACCTGCTGCAGCCCGCTTAGACCCATCATTCAGGGAAAGTGGTGTTTTAGGTCTCAATGCCATACAGCAACCCAGATGTAAAGTTTGTATTGAAATGATGGGCCTTTGCCATCATCCATTAGGAGAAGCGTGGAGGCCAGTGAAAGTGCTTCTCAGTTTGCCGAAAACAATCCAGCTTATTCTCTTCCTCCTTTTTAACTCTGGGCCCACCTCATTGTCAGTCTTTATTGTCTGTCCCAGTTATTCATACCATTAGACACGTCCTACGAGGGGTCCTCTTGAAATCTGAACACTAGATATCCATCATTCATTTGGTCATTCCTCTGTGCCTGGGCAAGCCAAAGTCCTGTAAGTGATCACAGATCTCTTCTGGAGGCTGTGCCGAGTCTTGGGATTTGATGCAATGCCATGTCAGCAGTAAGCAGGAGCACCCGGCTGGCCTCAGCCTGACTTGAATGGGCTCTGGGCTGATTCTCTTCCATCATACAGGTGAATACTTTTTTTTTTTTGAGCATACAACTTCCTAGTGGATGCCTCAACTGATGTTTATTATCAAAGGGTCATTGAACAGGGTTATTCCTATTATTCCATCTCCAAAGGAATCTTGAATGATTTTGATAAATGAATGGGAGACATTTTGTTGTAAAAGAGCCCATAAGGCTTTCCATAATCAACAAGAATTAAGCATAATAAGATATTATATCCTAGGGGGAAGCTAGGTGGCAAAGTGGATAGAGCACTCACCCTGGAGTCAGGAGGATCTGAGTTCAAATCCAGCCTCAGACATAGACTACTCATTAGCTGTGTGACTCTGGGTAAGTCACTTCACTCCAATTGCCTCACACAAAAAATAAAAGATTATATTCTCTACATCTTTTAGTCAATTATGAGATGGTAAAGGTGTGGTTCATTGTTGAATATCTCTTGGAAAAGCCTGTAAATTTCATACCCTCATCAAGGATGCCATCAGTTTGTGTATAGATGATACCCATGTAAATTGTCATTGTTATTATTATTGAAAAAGTATTCTTCTCATCTTGTTCTATTGAATTCAGATATAAACAGTCCTGGGATAATTATTCTCCTTTTTATACTTAATGCTCTGGGAAATAATATGAACTTAATTTTAAAAATGATATAGTTTTAATGTTCTGCAGACAAATTGCACAGATGGATAAAATAACTGCCTTTTGTAGTTGAATAAATAGATTAGGATACAAGCCCCACCTCTGTGGGTTCACTGAAAGCATCCGCAATTCCAGTGGCAGCAGGGAGAACAATTTTTAAAAAAATTTCTTCTGGGGGGCAGCTAGGTGGTGCAGTGGATAGAGCACCGGCCCTGGATTCAGGAGGACCTGAGTTCAAATCCAGCCTCAGACACATAACACTTACTAGCTGTGTGACCCTGGGCAAGTCACTTAACCCCATTGCCTAGCTCCCCCCTCCAAAATCTCTTCTGCTAGGTCTCTGTATTTTGAAAGGTTTTGCTCCATTCATCTTAGAGATTTTTAGTATTTGTGTGGTTTGGTCACAGCTATTAAAAATATTATTCTTAAGTTTTTATGGACCATTATTATGTCTGGGCAATTGTGTACAACAATTCAGTCTGTTCAAGTTCCAGTATGATTTATTGGTTGGGTACTCAAGGATGTTTTAAGGTCTGTACTTTAGTATGAATATTCATTTGTCTGTTCTTGAAAAATCATGAGCTTCTGAGATCTATTTCTAGCCACCAGCTCTTGTCTTGCTGTGTTTTTTGGTAGGTGCTAAATGTTTGCAGCCTGCTATGACATGCTACTGTTTCCTCCATTTCCTTACATCATTTGCGTGGATCACCAAGACCCGTGCCCATCATATTGAGCCCACCTTAGGCCTCACCTATCTATGAAACTTCAGTAATGTGTATTAAGCACGTACGATATTCCAGGCACTGTGCTAAGTGCTGGGAATACAAATAAGATAAATAAAGACAGTCCCTGCTCTCAAAGAGCTTATAAGCTAAAAGGGGAAGACAGCACACAAGAGGAGTAAGTAGAAAATGAGGAGGAGAGGAGGTCAGGGGCATCTTGTTCCATTGAGTTGAGACCAGCTAGAGATATAGATACGAAGTGGAGTAATCTGCAAAATCTAGGTTCTGCCCTGTTATGAATTTATCTAACATTTATTGCCTATACTGGAGTGGGGAACCTGTGGCCTTGAGGCCATGTATGGTCCTCCAGGTCCTCAAGTGCGGCCCTTTGACTAAATCCAAACTTCACAGAACAAATCCCCTTAATAAAAGGATTTGTTCTGTAAAACTTGGACTCGGTCAAAAGGCCGCACTGCAGGACCTAGAAGGCCACATGTGGCCTCAAGGACACAGGTTCCCCACCCCTGACCTATACTATCAATTGCACACTCAAGTCACCAAATGCTGTGACACATCTTGTATTTTATTTTTTTCAAGTCTTGTTTCTTCAGTCTAGTCTTTCCAAGTAGATTATGAACTCTGTGGCAGAAAGTCATTTGTACTTAGGAGGCAAGGTAATAGAAAATGCTGGATTTAGAGTCAAAAGCCCTGGAGTCAGATCCAAGCTCTGATACTTACTGTACTCCTCAAAGAAGTCACCTAATCTCTCTGAGCATCAGTTATTCAATTGCAAAACAAAGGGCTTGGACTAAGACTTACTGACCGTGCTCCTAGTTTTAAATCTGTAGGCCTGGAATTATTTACATTCCCTTCCTCCCCTAAATCCAATGATATAACAAGTACTCAGTAAATATCTATTAGATGACCCTTGTTAATAATATACTCTCTTGGGGGCAGCTAGGTGGCACAGTGGATACAGCATTGGCCCTGAAGAACCTGAGTTCAAATCTGGCCTCAGACCAAACACTTGACACTTACTAGCTGTGTGACCCCGGGCAAGTCACTTAACCCCAATTGCCTAAAAAAAAAAAAATTTAAAAAATATTCACTTCAATACATGAAAGATCTGTGCTTTCATCCCTCCACCAATACATTTCCTAACCCCTCCTCATATTAGTAGGTAGTTTAATGACTTCATAAGGTAGGATTTTCAGATTTTATGGACTCTGAATTCAATCCTCTTTCCTTTACTTCAGGCCACTGTTCAGTTTCTGTGGCCAAAGAAAATCATCATATGTTGACCAGTCCTCAGGCAAAGAGATTCTTTTAGGCTGATTAGCTAGGCTGGAATTTAAATGACTGACTGTCTTTGGTCTATACTGTAAGTCAGCTGGGTAGGACCGGAAAAAGCTCACCCTCTGCTGTTTTTCAGTCATTTCAGTTGTGTCCAAGTCTTTGTGACCCCATTTTGGGGTTTTCTGGGCAAAGATTCTAGATTAGCTTGTAATTTCCTTGTCAACCTCCTTTCTCAATTTATCTGCTTTGTTTCCAGTTCTTTCCACTACAAAAAAATGCTAACACAAATATTTTAGTGTAGATGGTACCTTTCTTTCTCTTTTTGAATTAACCCCAGCATTTACAGATAAGGTGGTTAGGTGGCTCAGTAGGTAGAGCCTGGAGTCAGGAAGAGCTGAGTTCAAATTTGACCATAGAACCTTACTAGCTGTGTGACCCTGGCCAAGTCACAACCTCAGTTTCCTCATCTGTAAAATGGGCATAATAGCACCCACTTTACAGGGCTGTCACACGGATTAAATGAGATAATAATTGTGAATCACTTAGTACTTTGCACAGAATAATACCTAAATAAATGTTAGCTGTTATAATAATGATAATCATTATTACTTTATCTGATTCTCACAACAACCTTGTGAAGAAGGTAACAACTTCAGTAGCTAATGAAATTATTAATTATTCCTATAATAGTTAATCATATCATTACTGCTTTGAATATTCCTTATATTTATACATCCTACTTCAGGTGCGTACTACCTGTTCGACCTTAGGCAAGTCATTTCTGAGCCTTAGCAAGAGGAGGAAACTAGTTCAGAGGAGTTAAATATCTCCTCTGCGGTCACCCAACTCGTAAGTGGCTGAGCCCCAATCCCCCAGCAGGTCCCCTGGTTCCATATAGAACACTCTTTTCTATTGCATTGCCAGCACAGGTCTCAGAACCGAAGTCATGAATCCCCCCCCCCCCAGCCCCCTCCAATGCCTAAGGAAATCCCACCCCTTTTAGTTTCACAGATCCACTTAAACCCCCGCAGGATATATAGGTCTATGCGCGTGTGTGCGCGCCTGCTGCACTTGCCCTGTCCGGGAGGGAGTGCCGCGTCTTCCTTCCCGTACACCAAAGCACCTCTGCCCACACCGGTCCTCCTCCTGTCCAACCCTACCCCTATCCTCCACCAGCCCTTGAGAACCAGGCTGCCCCCGGCGCCCCAACCCCGCCCCAGAGCCTTCCTCCCTCTCCCTCTTCTCCCTCCCAGTGCTCGCCCTAGTCCCCCCAGGCGCACTTTAAGGGCCACCCGCGGTTCTTGGAGAAACTACCGTTCGAAACTCCCGGTTCGCTCTCAGCACACGCCCGGGCTGGCGATCTAGTGGGCTTGGCGCTCCGAGTTGGGTGGCTCACAGTCCCGAGGCGCCTGACGTCATTCCACATTCAACTCCCACCCCAGACGGCCTCTTGGGCACTGTCACCATCTGCCTCAACTCCACCCTCATCTCGAAGAGTTAGGACACATTGTCCAAGATGACATCTCAACACCCCCCCCCCGCAGCCCCCCAAAGTCAATTTTGTTTCTTCAGCAGTGGCCCTAACTGAGAAAAGGGATTTCCCTGACACCCAAGCACGGAGACAGTTTCCCTAACGAAAATTCGCTTGAAATGATTCTCCTGCACAGCCCACACACATCACTCCTGCAGATAACTAAGACACAAGTTTCAAATTGGGCAAGAGAACAGGCAAATGAGGATTGAAAAACCGAAACAAAGTGTCCTAATTTAAATAAATAGGCTGCTCGCTGGGTGCAGTGTTGGACTTGGAGCCAAGAAGACCTGGCCAAGTTCAAATCCTTTTTTTTCCACTTACTAGATAGCATGACCCTGGTTGGGACTCAGTCTCTCTCAGCCTTGCTTTCCTCATCTGCAAAATGGGCATAACACTAGCACGAATCTCCTAGGGTTGAGACCAAATGAGAAAACCTATAGCACTTCCCAAAGTCTTAGTGCCGTTTTAAGCTTATAAAACTTATAAAGCTTTATGAATTAATAAAGTTATGAATTAATGAAATTTTAAAATTGTTTATTAAATTTATAAAGAACCTGGAAAAGTTTATGAGTTTTATAAATCTTTTGTAAACTTAAACATTATGAGTTTAAAACTACATGAAGCCTTTTGGGCCACACCGAATAATCTTCTTGATCAAAAGCAGCATGATGATGTAATTTGGAGGTGGGAAAGGATTCAAGTGTCGCCTCTGACACACACATTTAACCTCTCAGTGCTCCTGGCAGTCTCTAAGGCTATAGATTGACAAGAAGGAGAAGATTTGCATACACAGGAGTTTCCTTATTTGAGAGTTCCCTATGGCAATAAAATCACAGATCTAGTCTCTACTAGATTAATTAATAGTAATTAATTAATATCCTTGATATTGATGCTTTACATTTAATTTGTACTCCCCTGTTTCCTACATAAACATATGCAAGAACTTAGAAGCAAAAGAAAAAATGCCTTCAAGAAGAAAAGCAAAGAATCACACTCTTTGATTGCTACCTCTAATGTCAACAATAAAAGTTTCGTATTCATAGAATCTTCAAACTAGAGAGATTGTAGAGTCAGAGAGGTTCATGACTTGCTTTTTTTTAAAGAATATTTTTATTTAATTTTTTCACTTATATATGAAAACAATTTTTAACATTCTTTTTTTAATAATTTTTGAGGTCCAAATTCTGTCCTTCTTCATGGAGAAGGCAAGTATTGATATAGAGTATACAGTTCAGTTACGAAAACCATCCATGTTGCAAAAGAAAATACAGAGCAAAAAAAAAGTTTAAAAAATTGCTTTGATCTGCATTCAGATTCCATCAGTTATTTCTCTGGATGTGGATAGCATTTTTTTCATCTGTAAGTCCTTGCATCGTCCATTTTTATCATTAAGTCCTTGGAATTTTCTTGGATCATTGTATTGCTGAGAATAGCTAAGTCATTCACAGTTGATCATCTTACAGTGTTGCTGTTACTGTGTACCAAGGTCTCTTGGTTCTGCTCACTTCACTTTGCATCAGTTCAAGGAGGTCCATATTTAATATGAATATGCAAATCACAAAACTTTATGATGGATGTTAGTGACAAGTATCCTATGAAATCCAAAAGACATTCAGCAGCTGCATTCATTTACTGTTACTACTATTTCACATCATCATCTTCCATTTGTAGAAACTGCTATTTTCTTGGTCAAGGACATTAAGTCTTGCTAAGTTCTCTGCTTTCATTGGTGTGTATATTCGTTTGACTAATGCAGAGAGGAAGTTTCTGTGCCTCAGTAGATCTTCCACAGTTAAAAAAAATCATCCCCTGATGGCCAGCATTTTGATGAGGAGCTAGGCTAGTGCTTTGATAGACAGACACACAGCCCTTCTTTCACTGAGTCCAACCTTTCCAGCTTGGTAAAATTTGCCCTAGCCTAGCCTTCAGTAACTAAAGGTCATCTCCACGCTACAATGAGATGCTGGAGGCAGACTTATATGGCCTTGGATGTCGCCCAAACCTATCATCCTCTGCCTCCTTGCCTCAGCTTTCCTGGCTTTCTTCAATACTCAAGCATCTACTATGATATGATCTACATCTACTATGTACAAGGTGCTATGTTAGGTTCTGGGAATACAAAGACCAAATGAAATAGTCCCCATCCTCAAGAAACTTACATTTTATGTCTGTGTGAGAAAGGACTCTTCTTATCTGGGTTCCAAAGCTACGATGTTCTGGGTTTTAGGCCTTGACATCTCCTTTGCCTCTTATCTGTCTTTGTACTCTAGCTCTTAGACACTACCCCCCCCACACACACCCATACTTACATTCTCCTAGCCTTATTTTTGTCTCTGCTGTCTGTTCTCCTGATCCAACCTTTCTAGAGAGAATGAGCCAGCTGGGTAATTAATTATAGACATAAGGGACCTATATAAGCCTGAGACTTCCATATTGCACAATTAAGAGCTGTAGAAACTGATTCAAGACAGCAGAGAAGAAGAAAGAATCTTCAGAAAATGAGCAAGAATCTATTCATCCCAATTCCTTTCCTCCTACCTATAGGAAAGATGACTTGGAAGAAAGGCTATGCCCTACCCCTCCTTTCCTCTCCCCTCCCTACCCCAATCTCTATCTCATTCTATTTTAATGTTTCTATTTTCTTAGTGTTGTCTTCCTAACTAGATTATAAACTGTGTGGCTACTAGTCATCACACTTAGGAAGTGCAGTTAATAATAATAATAATATTTTTCCAAGAGGTGCTGAAGAGTCCCTCTGGAGCAGGTACCTCATGGAACTCTTCAGGGCCAAATTCCTGCAGCTTTCTCCCTCACCTCCTCCACTTCACATGGCCATTGTTTGGGTGCACAGGGAGTTACCAACGCTAATCCTTTTAGTAAAATAGTGGTAAGAGAGCTTCTCTGTACCCCACTGCCTCAGTGGGCAGAGTTGGGGAGTTCACAGTGACTGTGCCCTCTGTGGGTAGCAACTCCTCCACCTTCATGATCCTGAAGTATTTGACAATGAAGAGGGAAGATATGATGTGAATTGGAGTGATAGCGAAAAGGAAGGAGCCAGGCTAGGTCACAGAAGTGAATGAACAAATGAGTGAATGAAATGAAATGAATGAATGAAAAAAGCATTTATTATTCAATTACTATGTGACAGGCACTGTGCTAAGTATAAGGATACAAAGAAAGGCAAAAATACAGTGCCTGCCCTGAAAGAGTTCACATTCTAATGGGAGAGACAACCTGAATAACTGTATGTGTAACCTGGTGTTCAGTTCTGGGTATTTGCATAAAACTTTCCCCATTGGTGAAAAAAATGATTACTCGACTTTCCATATCTTCAGTGAAAGGTAAAGTCAGAGGGAGAACTTGGCAAAGAAGAGTTCTTAGCTGCCTCTTGGCTTCAAGAGAGGTCCCAGGCTGTCCCTGGAAGGAGAGAAAGACTATGGAAAAAAAGCCAGTAGGTAAAAGAGTTAGTGCCTCCAACACATCACAATTTCCAGCTTGTTCAAACTAAAGAATTTAGATTTCTTCTTGAGCTAGGCCAGGGACCCTGTTCTTTCTTCTTCTTCTTCTTCTTCTTCTTCTTCTTCTTCTTCTTCTTCTTCTTCTTCTTTTCTTCTTCTTCTTTTTTGCTAGGCAATGGGGTTAAGTGACTTGCCCAAGGTCACACAGCTGGTAAGTGTTATGTGTCTGAGGTCGGATTTGAACTCAGGTCCTCCTGAATCAAGGGCCAGTGCTCTATCCACTGTGCCACCTAGCTGCCCCCCAGGGACCCTCTTTCTCTCAGGTTGAGCCGAGACATTTCATTCCCAGTGGGAGATTCATTTACTCTATGAATTGTCTGGTATATTCTAATCTGTATAACTTCTCTGATTTCTGTTTGCTATCAGCTTGGATAAATGGGTTTATTCACTATTGAGTAATTTTCATGAAATTATTATTTGTTTTTAACATTCACGTTTAAAAAATCAAATTCCAAATTCTCTCCCTCTAGTCCCTCTTCTACCCAGAGAAGGCAAGCAATATGATATCAATTATACATGTGAGATCATGCAAACATATTTCCATATTAGCCATGTTGCAAAAAGAAAAAGCAAGAAAAATAAAGTGAAAAATTATACTTCAGTTTGCACTTAGAGTTCATCAATTCTCTCTCTGGAGGTGGATAACATTTTTTATCCTAAGTCCTTCAGAATTGTTTTGGATCATTGTATTGATTAGAGTAGCAAAGTTTTTCCACAGTAGATCATTGTTAAAATATTGCTGTTACTGTGTATAATGACCTCCTGGTTCTACTTGCTTTATTTTGCATCACTTCATATAGATCTTCCCAAGTTTTTATGAAAGCATCTTGCTCATCATTTCATATAACACACTAGTATTCCATTACATTCATATACCACAACTTGTTCAGTCATTCCCCAATTGATGGGCAGCCCCTCAGTTTCCAGTTCTTTGCCACCACAGTGAGCTGCTATAAACATTTTTGTATATATAGGTCTTTTTCCTTTGATCTCTTTGGGATACAGATCTAATAGTGGTATTGCTAGTTATGTTTAGTTTTATAGCCCTTTGGGCATAGTTCCAAAGTGTTCTCCAGAATGGTCGGACCACCAATAGTGTATTAGTATCCCTATTTTTCCACATGCCTTTCAGTATTGTCATTTTCCTTTTCTGTCACATTAGCCAATATGATAGGAGTGACAAGGTACTTCAAGCTAGCAGTGGTTGTGATGACCTTTGTCTAAGGAGCTTTGGTGTGAAGGAAGCCAAGCCTTCAGATACAGCTTGAGGCACTCTTGCCTTGTTAAGGGATAGTGACCAGGAGAGTAGCTTGAATCTAAAAATTATTGCTCCCATAGTAATGATATTTAGGGAGAGGGCAGATAGAAATAATTCAAATTTGGTAA